GCACCAGTGCTGCCAACACTTTGATCTTGGACTTGTAGCCTCCAGAACTGTAAGAGAGTAAACTTCTGTGGTTTAGGCCATGTAGTTTGTGGGACTTTGTTCTGGGAGTCCTGACAAACCAACACAACAGCCGTGGGCCTAAGAGCACAAGGGAGGGAACCTTGGCATCAGGAGCCCAGTGAGGGGCATGTCTGGCTGGAGCTGTATTCACAGAGGTGCATACAAGGAGAAAGCCAGGCAATGAAGACCTTGACCTCTCTCCCCTCCCACCCCTCAGACCCTGCCTTGCCTGGGCCCACTGGAAGCCAGCAGCCAAGAGGGGTGGGTGATGCAAACAGAGAATATGCACCTGGAGGGGGCCACAGGCCACATTTCTCTTACAAGCAGGAAGGGAGCTCAGGAGCGCTTGATCCAACACTCTCATTGGCCCCCAGGGAAACTGAGTCCTGGAAAGAGACAAGACAATACAGCCAAGCACATGCAGAGTCGAGACTGAAATCCAGGGATGGGCATTTGGCACGGCGATTAAGACAGTACTTGGGAGGCCGGCATCCATGGAGTGCTTGGGTTCCAGTTCTGGCTCCACTTTCCACTCTAGCTTCCTTCTGATGCACACCATGGGAAGGCGGCAGTGATGGCTCAATTGGTTGAGCCCTTTCCACCCACGTGGGAGACCTGGATTGAGTTCTGGGTTCCTGGCTTCTGGGACTGGCTCAGGCTTGGCTGTTGCAGCATTTGGGATTGAACCAGTGGATGGAAGATCTGTCCCTGATGCTCTGTCTCTCTGTCTTTTGAATAAAGTGGGGGGAAAAGAACAACATTCAGCTCTCTTGACTCCCAGTCATGTGCTCTTGTGAGTGTCAGGGTTGCTTTATGGTTTATCACTGTTATCTCTCTCCCTCCAGCAACCCATCCTAGCCTCTTTAACACAGTGCCTTCTTGAAATATTTAACTTAACTTATTATTTGAGTTGGTGATATTTTGACATGACAAATTAAAAGGTATAAAATATATACTTGAGGATGTGAAGCAGTTGGAACCCTTATACATTGCTGGGATGACGGGGGTGGGGTGGGACAGGAGGTGCTGTAGTGTGTTGCAGCCATTGTGGAAAACTTTAGGGAAAATCCTCAAAAAATTAAACATAGGGGTGGTTATCATGGTGCAGTGGGTTAAGCAGCCACCTCTGATGCCAGAGTGCCAATTTGAGTGCCAGCTGCTCACCTTCTGATCCAGCTTCCTGCTAATGCACCTGGGGAAGTAGCATAAGATGGTCCAAATACTTGGGGTCCTGCCACCCACATGGGAGACCTGGATAGAGTTCCTGGCTTCCTGGCTCCTGGCTTTGGCCTGGTCAGCCCTGGATGTTGTAACCATTATGGAGTGAACCAGCAGATGTAAGGGCTCTCTCTTTCTCATCACTCATTCTTTCAAATAAATAAATTAATCTTCTTTAAAAAAGTTAAACAGATGGGACCGGCACTGTGGTGTAGCGGGTAAAGCCACCACCTGCAGTGCCAGCATCCCATATGGGAGCTGGTTTGAGTCCCGGCTGCTCTACTTCTGATCAGCTCTCTGCATATGGCCTGGGAAAGCAGTGGAAGATGACCCAAGTGCTTGGGCCCCTGCATCCCTGTGGGAGACCCTGAAGAAGCTCCTGGCTCCTGGCTTTGGTGGCTGAGCTCCAGTGGTTGCAGCCACCTAGGGAGTGAACCAGAAGACCTCTCTCTTTCTGCCTCAGCCTCTCTCTCTGCCTCTGTAACTCTGCCTTTCAAATAAATAAATCTTCAAAAAAAATTAAACACAATCACCACACAATCCACAGTTATACTTCTAGGCATATACCCCAAAAGAACTGGAAATGGAGACTCAAACAGATACTGAACCAGTACTCACGACCACATTACTCTCCTTTCCAAAAAGTAGTAGCAACCCAAGAGTCCATCATCAGATGAATGGAGAAATGAAATGTGATATATCCATACAATGGAATAGTATTTGGCCATAAAAAGAATGAAGAACTTTTTAAATTTTTCATTCATTTATTTGGCGGGGAGAGAGAGAGAGAGAGAGAGAAAGGCACACTCATTCATTGATTCACTTGCCAAATGTCAACAGCTAAGTCTGGGTCAGGCCAAAGCCAGGAGCCAGGGACTAAATCCAGGTCTCCCACGTGGGTGGCAGGAACCCAATCACTTGAGCCATCATCACTACTTCCTAGGGTCCACATTAGCGGGAAGCTGGAGTCAGGAGCCAGAGTTGGGCATCAAACCCGGGCAGTCTGATAGAAGAGGCAGGCAGGCATCCTAACCAGCACCCTCACAACCAAGCTACACAGCTGCCCCAGGAATGAAGTTCTGACACACGCTAGAACACAGATGAACCTTGAAGACATTATGCTAAACAAAAAAAATCAACCACGAAAGGATAAAAACTGTGTGGCTGCACTTACCCGAGGTACCTAGAGTAGTCAGATTCAGAAAGACAGAAAGTAGAATAGAAGCTTCCAAGATCTAAGGAGAGGAGGAAACAGGGGACCATTGTTTGATGGGAATAGTTTGTTTGGGAATAATGAATAAATTCTGGAAAATGTGTTGATGGTTACACACCTCTGTGGCTTAATGCCACTGAATTGGATACTTCAAAATAAGTAAATCAGGCCGGCACCGTGGCTCACTAGTCTAATCCTCTGTCTGTGGTGCCGGCACCCTGGGTTCTAGTCCTGGTCAGGGCGCTGGATTCTATCCCGGTTGCTCCTCTTCCAGGCCAGCTCTCTGCTGTGGCCCAGGAGTGCAGGGGAGGATGGCCCAAGTGCTTGGGCCCTGCACCCGCATGGGAGACCAGGAGGAAGCACCTGGCTCCTGGCTTTGGATCAACGGGGTGCACCAGCCGCAGCACGCCGGCCGCGGCAGCCATTGGGGGGTGAACCAACAGAAAAAGGAAGACCTTTCTCTCTGTCTCTCTCTCACTGTCCACTCTGCCTGTCAAAAAAAAAAAAAAAAAGTAAATCAGTAAACTTTTGTGTTGTATATTTTGCCATAATATGAATACACATTTTCTAAGAAAGCATCTACAATGAGAGGAGACTGCTCTGAAACCAGTTCTGAGAGTCCTGGGTTATGAGAGAAGTCCTCTCCTCCTCTACATCCCTCCTGCTCCCCCATTTTTGTGTACCTCCACATTAGCCTAACAGACTCACGGCTTTAGATTTTGCTTTTTTCATTTAATATGGTTTGAAAAGCATCCTCATGTTGTACAGCCACATAGGAGCACTCCTGCACAAAGCCTGTGACTTGGGAGAGCTCGACTGATACTCAAAGATGACAAAATCGCATTTTATTAAGGAATAATGTGTCAGCTCCAAAGAGTGAGTGAGGAATGGTAGAATTTCAGAACCCTGCTAAGTGTGTGTATGCATGAGGAGAGGATGAGGTTGGATCGCAGTCTTTTCAGTCCCACATAACACACTTTGGGAAAGGCGTTTGCGGGATGCTGTCCTGTGCACCTAACACTCTCAGCTTCATGCATATTAACTTATTTACCCCTTACAGCAACTTGACGACATAGGTGATAGTAACTGCCCGCATTTTACGGATTGGGAAAAATAGAAGTCAAATATGATTAGTGCTTTCTTCTAAGTCCAAGGATTGTCATTAAGTTTCCTTTTGCTCTTCTTAGTATCTTTCTTTTGGTCCTCTTTTTTCATTACTTTTCTTTTGAAAAAGTAGCATAAGTGTATGGTTAAAATATAATGCAAATGGTGAGAAAAGTTATCGACTGTAAATCTCCCTCCTGGCTGAGTGGTCCTGCGCATCCCAGGTCTGCCAGCAGTCACCACCTCCACCTGGTGCTCGTGTCTCCTGGCAGGTGCACGCTGTTCATACACAGACAGGTGTGGTGGGCTTGCCTCTCCCCGCTCTGCCCCCTACAAGTGGTGGCGGCATCCTGACGCGCAGCAGTCTGCACCCCGCTTCCTTGGTTAACACTGGGCCTTCATGGGCCTTCCTTCCAGGGCCCTACAGCACAGCCTAGAATCCCACTGCATTGGCCTCTCACTAATCAGTAAACCCATTCCCATGGTCAGGAACGTTTGGGTCTTTTCAAATCTCTTGCAAAGGTTGCAGTGAAAGCCACTCACTTCCCCTCACAGCACCGTGTGGGTCATTTCTCACAAGCGGAGTTGCTTTGGGAAAGCCTCCCGACTCTGGGGGCCTCTGTCAATCACACAGGTATTTGAAGTGCTGTCTGGTCTTCATTTGCGTTCCTATGATGTGAAGTGTAGATGAGTATCTTATCATTTGTGTTGTTATTGTCTCTTCCTACTCTTCCATGAATGGTCTAAGTTTCCTACCACAGACCCAGCCCCCAGCTCGGGAGACCCACAGTGCTAACCCAGCCCGAGGCCTCTCTGCATCCTTCTGAGTGCTGAAAAGGAGATGCTGTCTAGGTGGGGGCCGTGGTGCAGTGGGTTAAGCTTCCATCTTCGGTGCCAGAATCCTATATGGATGCTGGTTCAAGTCCCAGTTGCTCTGTTCTGATCCAGCTCCCTGCTAACGCACCTGGAAAAGCAGCAGAAGATGGCCCAAGTACTTGGGCCCCTGCATCCACAGGGGAGACCAAAAAGAAGCTCCTGGCTCCTAGCTCTGGTCTGGCACAGCCCTGGCCATTGCAACCATTGGGGAATGAACCAGTAGATGGAAGATGGAGCTCTCTCTCTCTCTGTAACTCTGCCTTTCAAATAAATAAGTAAATAAATGTTTACCAAAGAAAAGAATAGAAAAGAAAAGAAAAGGCTACGTTTTTTCTGGTGCACTCAGACCACCGTATGATTGTCATATCCAATGACTTGCGTCTCCTTTTGGTTTTCTGCTGATAAACCCAAGGGTGATAACACAGGTGCTTGGGTGTGTGACATGGGCCAGGCCCAGGCCTCCCTGTCCCACGGCAGCCTACACTTGGACTTTGCCACCTGCCTGCTTGCTCACCCTGAGAAGCAGAGCTTTTTTGGGGGAGCAGGAGAGAGCAAACTCCCATTTGCTGGTTCACTCCCCAAATGCCCACAAGGGCTGGGGCTGGGCCAAGCCATCACCAGGAGCTGAGAACTCAATCCAGATCTCCATGTGGGTGGCAGGAACCCAACTGCTTGAGCCATTGCTGCTGCCTTCCTGGGTCTGCTGGCATCAGGAGCCAAAGGCAGGTATTGAACCCAGGCTCTGCAGTGTGGGATGCAGGCATCTTAGCCAGTGGACCGGACACCCACGCCGCCGGCAGAATGTCTCAGTCACTCCGCATTTGTTTGCTCCTCACATCTTTCAAAGCTTACATGGGAACAGAGCACTTCATTCAACAGAGGCCCTGGAAGGCCCTTTTACTCTGCAGCCATTCCAAGAACAAGTTCAATGCTGTCTCAAAGAGAAAAAGCCTCAGACAAAAGCTGGCATCCGAAGAACCCGGAGGTCAGGCCCTTGCTGGGGACGCGGGCATCCCTGCCTCATTAGTAGGCAGACACACGCAGAGCAGGGCTCGCCCCTCCGCCCCGCTCTGTGGGATGTCAGCCCAGCTCAGAGCACACACCGATTTCAGAGGTGGGAATTGCTTTCCCTCCAGCATCTTCAAGGAGCACTGCACAGATAGAGGATTTTTCTCCTTAGGGCTGTGTCTGGGACAGGCCATCTCCCAGGTGTCAGCCGTGACCTTGACCACACTGCAATGTGCTTCGGCTTCGCTGCCAGATGGACAGGTTCAAATCCTTCCTCTGCACCTTCCTGGTTGGGTGACCTTGGGCAGTGACCTCTCAGAGCCAGTGTACTTACCCCAAATTCGGACTTAACAATAGTACCTACTTTGCAGGTGAGGTGCTGCTGTCTTAAGATTCAAAAAAGCTCCAAAAGTGATTTGATGGTCACAGAAGAGCAGAATTAGAGGTGTGTGTTGACCAGATTTCCTCTATGAGATGAATGCAAGGAAGTAATTACTGAGCTCTGAAAAAAGTACAGTCAAGTCTTAACATTTCCCTTTTTAAAAAAATTTGATTTATTTATTTGACAAAGCGATAGAGAGATTTTTTTTCCATCTGCTTGTTCACTTTTTTTTAAATATTTATTTATTCAAAAGTCAGAGTTACACAGAGAGAGAAGGAGAGGCAGAGAGAATCCGCTGGTTCACTCCCCAATTGGCTGCAACGGCCAGAGCTGTGCTGATCCGAAGCCAGGAGGCAGGAGCTTCTTCCGGGTCTCCTATGCAGGTGCAGGGGCCCAAGGACCTGGGCTGTCCTCCACTGCTTTCCCAGGCCCTAGCAGAGGGTGGGATCAGACATGGAGCACCCAGGTCTTGAACCGGCACCCATAGGGATGCTGGCACTGCAGGCAATGGCCTTACCTGCTACGCCACAGTGCCAGCCCCTGGTTCACTTTTCAAATGGCTGAAACATCCAGGGCTGGACCAGGCTGAAGCCAGGATCCTCCACCCGGGTCTCCTTTATAGGTGGCAGGGGCCCAAATACTTGGGCCATCTTCTGCTGCTTTCCCAGGTGCATTAGCAGGGAGCTGGATCAGAAGCAGAGCAGCCGGGACGTGAGCCTGTGCTCTGATGTGGGATGCAGGTGTCATAGAGCGGCAGGTTAATCTGCTGCGCCACAAGGTCACCCCCTAGCACCCCCCCCCCCGAACTTTTCCTTTTGTGTTGAAACTCAGAAACTTACTGTCCTCAAGGTGCAAAAGAAGAGGAAAAGGAGGAGAAGACAAAGAATCAAATCCTTGCTGTGGCTCCTGTGTCTCTGATTTGGCCATTATTCGCCTCCTAACTGCCAACCTGCCATGCTGCTTTGGGCGCTGGGGTCATTCAAGAGTGTGGACATCTCTCAAGTCTGCGCACACTCACAGTTCCCTCGATCTCACCACCCTGTAATCCCCGAAGCTCCCTGTACCTGGAATATTCTCCCCCACCCCATCCCTCCTATCTAGCTGACTCCTCAACTCCCAGGTTGCAGACTGAGCATCACTTACTCTGGTCGAGGGGGCTGGCTCCTGACCCCTGGGGGCTTGTCTGCGAGCTCCATCTTGTAACGCAGGCTGCACGGGTAACTCCAAACCCCTGTCTGTTGTCCTTGCTGGGCTGCAAGCTGCACATGGAGCTAGCATTACAGTTGACACTGTGACCAGCCCACAGACGGGCTCGCTGAGAGTCCAGCTGAGAAAGGACAGGGGACAGAGGGAGGAAAGACAGGACAGGCTGGTGCGGGCAGGGGCATGGCTGTCTGATGCATTCCCACAGTGGAGGGTAGCCCCTGTTCATGCCCTCAGGCTAAGGCCCCCAGGCCCAGGGACGAGAACAGGGCATAGCCAGCGGTGGCACTTTAAGGAGCAAGCCCTTTGAAATCCCCTCCCAGCTTCGCCCTGTGCTTTCAGCACCTGTGCTTTGAGAGGCTTCAAAGTCATTTTCAAACCCTAATTACCCCACACACTGTAGCCCCCGGCGGCCGCCAAGGCTTCAGTGCTCCAACCTGCCAATTAGGAAACTCAGCCCCACGGTTAAAAGCGTGTGGGACCCAAAGAGAACACACCAGCCCGGAAGGTTCCTTGCACGGTGCAAGAGCCGGAAGCCGAGGACACTTGGGCCTACGTTTGCCTTCCCAAGAGACCCTCCCTACTGCGCTAGTCCTTGGTACTATGGGGGTTCACTCAGCTCAGGGGCTGCAAAGCAGGGGCGCCCTGGCCATTAGTACATTATGAAGATCTCAGTGTTCTATTTTTTTTTTAAGATTCATTTATTTATTTGATAGAAAGAGAGAGAGACAGAGAGAGAGAGAGAGAGAGAGAGAAAGAGAAGGGGAGGTATCTTTCATCCACTGGTTCATTCCCCAAATGGCTGCAACAAACAAGGCTGGGCCAGACAGAGCAAAGAGCCAAGAACTCCATCCAGATCTCCCACGTGGGTGCTGGGCCTCAAAGACTTAGCCCATCTTCCGCTGCTTTCCCAGGTGCATGAGCGAGTAGCTGGTTCAGAAGCAGGCATTCCTATATGGGATGTCGGTATCACAGGCCACGACTTAACCTATTGCACCACAACGCCGTCCCTAGTTTTTGTTGTCATTGTTTTTTAACCAGAGTTTTTGTATAAACATCTACACTGGGGAATTCTCTTGAAAAACAGAGGCCCCGGCAACGCAGGACCGGCTGGAGGTGAGCGGTAGCTGCCCTCTGCACACAGCGGGCTTCCTCCACGCCGCCGGGCGCCGCTCCCTTTCATCTCTGACTGGCTCACTTCACTCATTTGTGAAATGTGCTCACTGCTGTGGGCATTTGATTTACAGCTCCCGAAGCACTCCTTTCCTCTTAGTTATCAGCCTCTCTGTTTCTCAAAAAAGCCAGGGCCCAGCGTTGTACTGTAGTGGGTAAAGCTGCTGCCTGAGACAGCCCATATTGGGCGCTGGTTCGTGTCCCAGCTGCTCCACTTCTGATCCAGCTCCCTGCTAATGGCCTGGGTAAGCAGTGGAAGATGGCCCAAGTGTGTGGGCCCCTGCCACCAATGTGGGAGACCCGGATGAAGTTCCTGGCTCCTGTTTCAGCCTGGCCCAGCCCTGGCCCTTGCAGCCATCTGAGGAGTGACCAGCAGGTGGAAGATCTCTCTCTCTCTCTCATTCTCTCTCTGTAACTCTTGCTTTTAAATAAACAAATACATCTAAAAAAAAAATGTCAAGTTCTTTCTAGACGACACTCTTCCCTTCTCAAGTCTCAGCTGAAGGGACGTCTCCTTTGTCTGAATTAGGTTCCCCAACCTACACCTGTAGGCGCATGTGACACATGGCAAGTTGTCCTGGTTGGGACGTTTGTCTTCTCTCCTCTGTTAGACCATGAACTCCAGGAGGGCAAGGCTTTGCTTGGCTGTGCTGATCGCTGCACCTGTACCTGCGGCCCACAGCATGCAGCCAGGAACATCTTAGGAGCTTGGCAAACATTTGTAGACTGAATACACGAATGAGCACAAGGGATTCTCTGCCAGGCCCGGTGGCCCCCTTCAGCGACAACGCCATCGTCGCTGTCTGCCTGTGGGTTTGGGGAGAGGATGCCAGTGTCCCAGCCTTCCTGGGGGATTTAATCAGGTCCATGGGTGAGGGCACAGGTCTTCGCCTTTCCCAGCAATCCGTGGATCAAAGGAGGGGGAGGACTCATAAACCATTTGCATTCAAACCTGGGAGCCGACTACAGATGACTGTGGTGATCAAAGCGCTGGTGAGACGGCAGAGCTGTGAGAGGAGGACCCTTCCTCGTGGAGAAAAGGAGGCTTGGCTTGACTTAAACCTATGAAGTCCCGACGTGGATGCTGGCCACCCAACCCCGACTCTCAGAAGATGAAAGGACCTTCCCTAACATTTAAAAGAGATCCAGGCTGGGCCAGCGTCATGGCACAGCGGGTTAAGCTGCTTCCTGGATCACCAGCATCCCATATGAGCCCCAGTTCAAGTCCTGGCTGTTTCTCTTCTGATCCAGCTCCCTGTTAATGTGCCTGGGGAGGCAGTGGAGGATGGGCCAAGTACTTGGGTCTCTGCCACCCACATGAGAGACCCAGATGGAGTTCCAGGCTCCTGGCTTTGGTCTCGCCCAGCCCCAGCCCTAACCCAGGCATTGCAGCCATCTGGGTAGTGAAATAGTTGTTGGAAGATCTCTGCTTCTCCCTCTCTCCCTGTAACTCTTTCAAAAGAAAGAAAGAAATATTAAAAAAAAAAAAAAAGGGAAGGTGGCAGCATTGTGGATAAAGCTGCTGCCTATAACTCCAGCATCCCATATGGGGGCCGGTTCGAATCCCGGCTGCTCCACTTCCGATCCAGCTCCTGCTATGGCCTGGGAAAGCAGTGGAAGATGGCCCAAGTCATTGGGCCCCTGCACCCACGTGGGAGACCCAGAAGAAGCTCCGGGATTCTGGTTTCGGACCAGCTATTTGGGGAGTGAACCAGTGGATGGAAGATCTCTTTCTCTCTCTCTCTCTCTCTCTCTCTCTCTCTCTCTCTCTCTGTAACTCTGCCTTAAAAATAAATATTGGAGAAAAAAAAAGCTTAAAGTCTTCAAATTCCAAAGTGACAGATCTGAGGCTGCTGATAGGAAGTGGACTTGAGGCCCAATTGTAACAGCATGGTCAGTGTCCTTGGGTGTTCAGTGAGTGAGTGATGGCACAAGGGTCATAGGAAACAGCAGTCCTGTCCTCTAGGTTCCCACAGTCCCAGTCAGAGCAAGGGGGCTGGACTAAACAGATTCAAAGGTCAAACTGAGCCTGACCCACGTTGAAATGGTTCATCTTCCGGGGCTAGGATGCAGAAGCTGAAGTAGAAGCAAATGCACAGGTTTGGCATTTCATACTGCATGGGTGGAGGGGTCTCTGATTGGTCAAATGAATAAGTGGCACGATAGGCACTGCCAGGAGCTGGCCAAGGAGCTGCTCCCTGGGGCAGGTGCGTGACCTTGCAGTTAAGCTAAGCCAGGACACCTGCAGCCCGCACAGAGTACCTGCTTTTGATACCTGGCTTCAATTCCCTGCTAATGCAGACCCTGGAAGTTGGCAGCGAAGGCTCCACTAGTTGGGATAGCTGCCACTCGCATGGGGGACCTGGGCTGTATTTCGGACTCCAGTCATTGCAGTAGATGGGATCTCTCTCTCTCTCTCTCTGGCTCATGCTCTCTAGCTCTCAAAACACAAAAACCTGCTCCTGTCATTGGCCACCTCTAGCTTCTGGCCTCCTGGAACAAGAGCTTAGAAGGGCAGCACTATGGGACTTACGAGTGAAAGCTGGGGATGGTGGAGAGAGCAGCCAGTGGGAAGGACTGGAGAAGAAGTGGCATGGTCTGTGCTCCAAGGTACTGAGCTCCTGTACTGGAGGAGTAGAAGTGAGACCGCCAGAGACCATGGTCACGGCTCTTGTAGACAGAATTCTAGCATCAGGCCTAGCCAAGGTTCTTGGGGACTCCACAGGGAAGGTACTCAAACCACCTGACATTACACGCAAAATCTTTGTCTAGATAAGCATCTCTCTTCTCCCTAAGGAAATTGTTCACAACTTTCTTTACCTTCTTTAAGGGTTTATGACCCAAAAAGGATTAAAAACCATGGAGAGGGCTGGTGTTGTGGCACAAGGGGTTAAGCCACTGCTTGCAACTCCTGCTTACCATATTGGAGCACTGGTTTGAACCCCAGCTGTCCCGTTTCCCATCCAGCTCCCTGCTAATGTGCTTGGAAAGGCAGTGACCCAAGTGGCCCAAGTGCTCCTGGCTCTGGCCTGGCCCAGTCCTAGCCATTGCAGCCATTTGGGGAGTGAAACAGCGGATGGCAGATCTCTCTCTCTCTCTCTCTCTCTCATGCATGTGTACTCTTTTCCTCTCTCTCTCTCTCTCTCTCTTCCTCTTTCTGTTGCTCTGCCTTTCAAATTAATAAATCTTTAAAATAAAATAAAAAATAAAATTTAAAAATACATAAACAACTTTAATCAATGTGTAAAAGTGGAAATAACCCCACCCCCTACACAAAACCCAAATTCTTGGTTTTGTTTTTGTTTTTGTTTTTGTTTTTGTTTTTGTTTTTATCTAAAATCAGAAAGCTGGAAATATTGGACCCTTATTTTCAGATTCCGATATTCAGGTGGAGCCTGGACAATTTACCACAGTCCCCACCACTCCCTGCTACCCACAATCACCCACTGCAGTCTTACACGTTGACGTCCTAACCCCTGAGTGCACTGGAGCTCGAGACCCTCACTCAGCATTTCCCCCAGAATTCACCAGCTCAGGAGCTGCTTGACTCCGAGGTGATCCCTACATGGAGACAGGGACCATCTGTTGCCGGCTAAGCTGCGAACTGTGAGACCTCAGGTCCACGATTTCCTGGGCCCCCTGCTTCCCATCTGCTGACATCTTAGAGCTGTCCTGTAACTCCAGAACGGAGCCAAAGACTCCAAAGCCACATGAGATCCCAATTTAGTTGGCATGAATCCTCCCCGGCCTTGACCTGTTTTCTGCTTTCCCGCCTCTGCTCACTTCCTATTAAAGTTAACAAGCGTTGCAGGCAGCCATCAAAGGCAGGGCTGTGTCTTTAATATTCCAGGCAGGTCCAGGCTGTGATCACCACCCCTCCCCCTCTCCGCTTGCAACTGAACTGGGCAAAATGGTTCGGTTGGGAGTGCCAGAGTCAGGGCCTAGTCTGTCCTCGTCTGTTTGATAAATGCACAAGGAAAATTCCAGATCCAACAGGACATCCTCACAGCAATTTTCTTCAAAGTGCCCTGCAAAAACCAGCCAATTATTCTTAACAGGCAGCCTTGGAGGGGTGTGTTATTATCCCCATTTTATTGGCAGGGAAACTGAGGTCAAGAGAATGGCTTGCCCAAAGCCACAGAGAGAGAGAGATGGAATCAAAGAAGTGGCAAAACAAATCGGGGTCCACCGGGGCTCTCTGAGCCCTGTGTCTGGCCCAGGAGTTCTAGCACATTCAGGTTTCCAGGCCGAGCAGGGGTTGGTCGTGGCCACCCCTCCACCCCGGGGCCTCACACTGGACTTCCGAGACCCGGCAGGCATGAAGACGTGAGGTCAGCCAGCCCGCAGGCACTGGGGGGAGAACACGCTCTGTCATCAGCCTCTTTATAGCGCAGGAAGTGAGTACAGGCAATAATTATGCTCCTTCTACACCACCGTCCAACTGTCGTCTTTGTTTCTTCTCTCTGGCATTAATCAGGGACGAAGTATACTGGAGAAATTGACAAACCACCAGGGCACC